TTAACTTCCTGAAAAGCAATTTGAAATTACTTGACTGGCACTTTAAGTAGCCACAAAATATCTGTAGTGTACAGTCATCTTGAGGCAGAAAGCACAAGCTCCTCCAATGCAGGAATTGTTGTGCTAGTGCCTTTTAAATAAAATTTGAAGAAGGATAAAGGCACTGAAATGTTTGTACTTGCACAAAGAATAGTGAGAAAAATGAAGATGAGGAAATCAATCAAATAATCACTATTAAAGGATACTTTCATGTACTGCAGGCATCACTGTCGGTACTCTATCAACAACTATGCTTAATAAGAGGAGATAATACTGTGGTTGTTTAGTTTGCAAGTCAGAAGGCAAGAAGTCCTGACTTAGGAGCCTAGCACATTAAGCACTCTGTAGATCAAAACCATGGTCTGTGTTAGAATAATTGTATTAATTTTGTATTACACAAATTTAAACAAATCAGATATGTGTTGGAGCATATGGCAATTTCTGCTAATCTGCATCTCTGTTGTGTTTGCCCCCAGACCATACTGGTTGTGAGCAGCCTCTTATAAGGTGTTTTGTGCTCTCTTTTAAATCTTTTAATCATGGCTGTTTTCAGAGATACTGCACTTTATTTAGTGGGTCAATGGCCTGATCTCATATAGCAACCTGTATATTCTTCTGATATTATGAAAATGGAGATTTTTTTAATCTTATAATAATACTCCAAATAAATTCATCTAGGACAAATAACAGATCTTTCTTCATCCACTATCACTCTAGTGTGTATCCCTCTAATTCTATGAAAGACAAATGGACAAGTTTGATATAAAATATATTTTCTGTAGAACTGCCAACTTCCTTCCTTCCATTTTTTGTTCTTGACAGTATTTCATAGGTTTTTGTTGTTAACTTATGAATGTCACTGTCTTCTTTGGGAAGCTACCTAATCTATCCCAGTATCTATTCCAGTGCTGCAGACCTTCTTCTGTTTCACAGGGATTTGAATGTTACGTTCCACAGCACACTCTGTAAGCTTGAACTCTATTGATTTTCTTTTCAAGTGAGTAATCCATACCTTACTGTAGTAAACTGAACTATCTTGTGTTCTCTCACAATTAGTTTCCCTCTTGCCTATAAGGGCTGGATCTGGAAGTCTGCAAGTCAGAAACATGAGCTACTTTTTGAAAATAGTGATTTTTTTTTTCTAATCTAGTATATGCAATTATTTGTGCTTAAATAAAATAGGGTTTAGATTCAGATAGTGGCTGACATAGAGGCTTCTAGAAGGACTTTCCTTCTTGAAAGACATACAGTACTGCACATGGGCAAAGAATTCATTAGGACACAGGCTCCTTCTCACAGGTTGTGCTGCAATTAGCACTCTATGTTCTGAGAAACAAGCTTAACTATTATAATATGATAATTTCTAGTTACTGGTCAATGTCTCTTCTTGACCAAAGCTAGCATTGACTTGGTATGACCAAAGGTATTGTTGACCTGATAGGATGCCTCCTGTGAGTATAGAAAAATATCATATGAGTCTCTTGCCCCTTATTCTAGGTTTCTCAATTATATCCCTCAATGTCAAAGCCACAGATACCTGGCTGTGTCTCAAAGGCATTAAATTCCATGTAACCAGGCCCACAACAAAGCCTCAAATACTTGGCTCTGATGGACGGTGTTATAATGAGGGTGGAGCTCAGTTCAGTGGCCAATTTATTGCATCTTAATGTTCTAACATGCTTTCATTTCATATCTAGGACAATAAATGCTGCAGTAAAGTTTGGTTTAAAGCAGGTCTGTTTTGCAAAATGAGTCTTGCATATGAAACAAAACACTCTTTGTTGCTTTACTGTTTAAACCTTTATTATTGCTTTTTCTCTCTGGTACAATGGGCTTTTATGCACCAAACAGCTGTGTTCATCATGTTTATTTAGAAGGCATCCATTGTAGTGGAAAAAGTCTGGAGGACAAAAATCTTGGTGAAGTACAAGACTACTCTGTGGGTGCTGGCACTTCTATTTTTTTCTGTCCTGTTCCTTTGGTCAGTATGCAAGTCACATACACAGGCACTGCCATGCAGACTTTCAAACCTGGTATAATAGCAACTTTTCACAAGTGCTGTCTCTTATTCCAAGTGTTGTCCTCCAGAAATTTTCAATCGCAAGGCAACGTACAGGAGGCACGACTATTTTACACACTATGATCCCATCATTTCTCAGTCTGTTGCTATTTTGGCCCCTCATTAGGTCACTTTCCAAATATTGTGTACAGCTATGTGTCAATCATTGTCACAGCTCAGCTCCAGCCTAAGCCAACCCAGGACAAAACTGTGAGGGGAAAAAAAATGCCAACCAAAGCAAGCACTGTGTAGAAAACAGTCAACAGTTTAACTGTGGAAAGCTATGTGTTGTTCCAAAGATAGCATAAGCCCACTTGATGCAAAAGCAGCATACAGTACTAATGCGCTCCAAAATAATTTTACGCAGTTGAAATATGTTGTGTATACCCAATGGCATGTGCAAATAAACAGATGTTAGAATCTCAAGAATTAAGAGCGTGACATTGTCGGAAACTCTTGGGTGACTCCTGCCAAAAAGAAGTCTAGTTTCCAGTTTCTGGAAAGAACAGAGCACCTAATATATTGACAGAACTTTTTCTGAACAACAGTATCTCTAGCACCTTCTAAACCCTTGAAAGAACGCTGCTGTATAAGCAGGCAGTGTTAACCTGAGGAACTAAAAGGGTCCTTACTTCCTTCAGGGTATATCCAGAAGGGTAAAAGCACTCCCACATCCCCTTCCCTCTTTTCAGGTTACCATGTAGTAACACACAGTTTAGGTAAATACTGGAAACATACAAGTGTCTCTATCAGCCACAGAGTCAATGCTACTATCCCAGGCTGGAAAGTGAACTGGAACAAACAAACGTGCTTGAGCTTTTAAAAATATTAAAATATAGATATCTATATAGAATGAAAAGGCTTATTTCCTGAATGGTGAATGCTCTTGGCTTTCTACAGAGCCAGTATTCTCAGTTGTTGTTGTTCATGTGCCTCAGAAAACTGTAACGAGGTTAGAAAGAGCAGAATAAAGTTGCATCCATACAGCATATGGACGATAGGAATCCACTCAGAAATGCAGCAAAGGTGACTCCTGGGATGCAAAAGCAGTGCAGCTGGGGGGAGGCTGCAAAGGGGCTGACTGCATGGAGCTGAGGCAGGGGGAAGGCCTGGCATACCAGGGAAACGATTTTCCAGAATAAAGGAGAAAAGTTTTGGGGAAAAAAGTGGAAAGAAATGTGAGCCAAGTGGAAAGGGAGTGTGACAAAAGGATTAGCCTCTACTTGCACACAGTATAGTAAAAGCAGAAAACGACCTCTGAGAACTGTGAGGGAAAGAAAACTGTTTCTCAGAGACTGTTTCAAAGGCTTCCTGAATGCAGCCTCCATTTACTTGTTTCTTCCTTTTTCTCCCAGGAAGAAAAAGGACCCGCTGTGAGCAGAATGTATCCCGACTTGAACAAATACAGGCCTGAACGAGTCCCACTCTGGAGTCCATGCAAGGCCAAACTCCTGGAGTCTTATTGCTACCTGGACCACAAATCTCATAAGCCAAGCAGAAAGGGGCAAAATCTACAATTTGTTGCCAACAGGTAGGTAGCTAATAGTTCATATTGCACCCCCTGCTAGTCTTTTTCCAAAATCAATGTGCTTGCTAAATCTGTGTTTTTAAAAAAGATGTGCCGTGTTGACCTTAATAAGACTAGGTACATCATTTTGAACTGGTTGCAAACTATATACTCTCAAAAACAGTGCCTATTTTGAGACTTCATGTGCTCTGTGAAACTCTTAAAGCAGAAAGAATTTCTAATTAAGGGGAAAAGAATGTGCGTGTATAACTCTGGTTCTTAACTGTTAGCAACTATAATGTGAGATCAATTGGGGAATTTTATTTGGTTTTAATTAATAACCCCATGCCTTTTCTGACAGAACAGGAATGTGTATTTTGACTGAGAATACATTTCAAATCGATGTTTAACACAAATGGCGCTGGAAGGACTCTGAAATATCATTTTGTGGGAAGTGCCAGAGCAGGCTGGGATGCATAGTCCATCTAACCCTTGCCAAACAGAGCCACTGTCGAATGCCTTCGGCAAGAGACCCACAGTAGGGTGCAAAACTGTAGTTGGATCTTTTCTGGAGAGGCTGTGAGCTGTGGTGTGTGAGGTGCCACCTTGCAGTGTCTCCGCACATGTGAAATCCCTCCAATGCAGAAGTGCTTGACCTCAACAACTTCCTGTGACAGGGAGTTCCACAGCGAATTGTCTTCGCATACCCTAGCTTTTTAGCTTCCTTCCCTCTGCTTCCATTTAGTCTTGTTCTTGTGTTATGAAATGCGCACAAAACTTTTTTCACTGCTTTTGTCACGTTCCTGTTTGTTTCTTCCTTTCAAACAGTGCCGGCCTCATCTCCCTTAAGCTACACGTATTCTCATACCAAGCTCTGTAAATATCACTTTGAAAGAAAACAAACAAACAAACAAAAAAAGGGGGCGGGGGCGGGGGGTGGAGGGGCAGTGGTGGTATTTTTGCACGTTGTGACGGATGTAGCACTTTCTGCCGCGTCCTGCCTCTCGCCCCTCCGGCCGCGTCCCGGCCGCGCACGGGAAATCGGTGTAACCATTGACCAGACTGTCAACACGGGCGCCCCGCGCCGCCGGCGGGCGGCGGGAGGAGGCGGCGGCTGCGCCAATGCCGCGGCTGTGGCGGCGCCTCGCCCCGGCCCGTTAGCGGGACGGGCGGCGGGGGAGCGCCCGGCGGGAAGGGGCCGGGAAGGAGGAGCAGGAGCCGGAGCCAGCGCGGCCGGCCGGGCCGAGCGGGGCGCGGAGCGGCGCTGCCCCGTGCCGCGGGCGGGCTCGGTCCCGGTCCCGGCTCGGGGAAGGGGGCAGGAGGCTGCCGAGGCATCATGGCGGTTGTGTCCCGGGGGGGCCGGGGGCTGCGCGCCGGGCGGCGGGGCGGACTCACCTCGCTCCGCTGGAGCTGGAAGAAGCTGTTGAGATAGCTGGAGCTGAGCGAGGAGCTCAGCTCCGGGGTGCTCTTGGTGTAGCCGAGGTCGGGGTGCTGGGACGAGGAGGGCTCGGGTCTGAAGGCATCGAAGGCGCTGGCCTGGTGCGTGTCTTGTAGCGAGAGATAGACCCAGTTGAGGAGCTGGGCGGGCTGGTACACGGACGCGGCGCTGGTGTCGATGGTTGACAACAAGCTCATCTTTCCCCCCGGCTCTGCCGGCGCGGCTGGCCCCGCGGTGCCGCTCCCGCTCCCCCGCTCCGGCAGCGCCGCTCTCCCGTCCCTGCCCGGGGCGCTTCCTCCTGGCCGCCCGAGGAGAGGACAGGACGGGCCGGGCCGGGGGCTCGCAGCCGCGCCCCGCGCCGCTCTCGCTCTCCTAAGGCCGGCGGCGCCCGCCCAGCCCCAGCGCTCCGCGCAGCACGGGCATCGCTGCCGCCGCCCGCGAGCTCCGCACGAAACTTTCTGCGCGCTCCCTCCCTCCCTCCCGCCCGGCCGCTGCCTGCCCCGCTATCTGTCTTTATTCCCACTCCCGCAAGGCAGCGGCGGGGAGGGGCTGCGGGCGCTCCGGCGGCGGCGCCGCGCCCCCATAGGCCTCCCGGCCGCCGCGGGGGTGCAGGGGCGTCCCGACGCCGCTCCGCCCCCGCCCTGCCCCTGCGAGCGGCGGGGGAAGGCGAGCGGCGGAGGTCCCGGGCCGATGGCCGGGGACACCCCCAGCCCCTGGCCGCTCGCCCGCCTGGGTCGCGCCGGCTCCCTTGCTCGCTCCCCGGCCTTCCTTTTCCTCCTTCCTGGAGATTTTTGCGCCAAACACGCGCAGAGCCCTCCCGAGGGCTCCTCGCCGGGCCCTTTCGGGCTTGTTTTTAACTCGACAAGTTTCGCTCGAGTTTACTCAGCCCGCCCTCTTCTTTCACTCTCCTGTCTGTTTCTTGCCGGGGCTCAGAGCTCATCGCAATCTGAGGTTCCCTCTCGTTAAATCTCTGTCAGAGCTCCAGCTTACGAAGCCCTGCGCGGCCGCTGAGGTTGTGCCAAGCCGGTGCAGAGTGAGGGTTTCCCAAATAAGGCAGGCAAGCGGCGCGATGTTCCCTTTGAAATCCTTCTAGGTAGCCCTGGCACAGGCTCTTGGGGAGCCTGGCTGTGGTGGGATACCCGGGAGTTAAAGCTGAGTAGGCCTTTTAAGGAGTCAGTAGCACAAAAGAGGATGATGAATGATCCTTCTTTTAGGAAGGAGACTGAGTGGGTGAGCTGGTAATTAGAGTTCATAAACTCTTCCCTGCTGCCTTCCCTGCAATGAGAGGAACAGGACAGCTATTTCTTGCTTTGGTACAAACACCATAGCAATCAAAGTAGGAGTTCTCAAAGAAGCTCCCAGGAGGTAACTTAAGAACTCGAGCATAACTCCTTGTGCTCTTTCCTGAGGGACAGAAGGCTGAAAATTAATGTGCCTTTCCAGTACAATGTTGGGGGAAAAAATGTCTTCTTTACTTAGATAACAGAAAAAAAATCAGACCTATGAAACATCAAAGTTGGCATCTCAGTTTGCTGTAATGAGCACTACGTCTCTACTGAGATAGAAGAAAAATTGTTGTCCTGAAAAGGCATGGTTGCAAGCAACAGAAAATGCAGGTCAGCGTACACACAGTAGAAAATACTATTAAATTGTCAGCTGCAAATACCTAAGATGGATGTATTTAACTTCTGAGAGCAGATAGTTAAGGCAGCACAGCTACCTGCATGCAAGAATTTAAGTGAAGATTCTAACTTCCCAGAAGTGCAAGGTGAGGTGCAGTTTGGAACAGCTCATTCAAACCTAATTCCTTTAGTGGGGCTAATATATTATTTGAGGGTTTTTAGTGATGAAGTCCTTGCAGCATGAATGCAGTTTGTTCACAAGTTCTCTTGGTTTAGAAGCCCTCTGGAGCACATCTAAACGTGTGGGCATCAGCACAAGAAGGAACAAGCTACACCGGTGTAAAGGGTAGCTCAGCAACTGTCCGAAGCATGGACCATAAAAGAAGAATTCAATTACATTGCATCCCAAACTCAGTGATTTAAAGAAGCAAAAAGATCCATGAGGCTTAGTGAGTTAATAAATTGTGGGGGAGGATTTTTCATGATTTGCTGGTAAATGAAAAAAGAGCAAGAAATAGATATCATACCTGAGGAACTTGCCTTTCTGGCAGATGGTGGTAGAAAAGTCAGGATATGGTAGAAAGTCTAGAAGGGGAAACAAGGCTGCATGTTTTGTTGCTGTGGAAGTTTTTTGTAAGCATGCTAATTCCTTCCTTAAAGACAATTTCTATTCTTATCACTTCTCTCTTTTACTTGATAAATTAAACTGAAATGTGTGTATTTGTCTTATTTGACAGCTCCACTGTTCACTCTGTTTAGTAAAATGCTGTGAAGCAAATGGGAGTTCTGAACAAGCAGAAAAGATAACATGACAGGGTTCTTGTACTAATAGAGGTCAAAGAGTGTTTTGGATTAAAAGCGTTTGGTGTATTTTGATACTTTCTTTTCCCCAAACTAAATATAGCTCCCATAGCAAGTGGTTATTTTGATTGCTTTAGTTAGACAATACAGTAAAGATTGCAGCGGGGCAAGGGAAGGCAGAGTTAGGGTGTGTTCATTGCAGCAGCCCTTTATGATGTGGGGGGCACCATGCGCTCCACCAGATGCGTTTGAACCATTTAAAGCTTTTGGCTGTGATTGCCCCTTGGCAGTAGCCCTGGTGGCTTCTAGCAACCATGCAGAAGAATGAGTAAATTGAATATGATTGGCATATCAAGAAAGGGAAAGTTTGCATACACTTCCACTATGAAGAGCTTAAATAAAAAGCACCCACACTTTGAGGTTCAGTTGTCATCCTGGTCTACTGCTGCAGTTTGATACTGCTCATAGCTGAGCAAAATGCTCCTGCCACACTTGGTACAGTCCACTGAAGTTCCAGATAGCAATTTTTTCATTGGAAGTCCCCTCATCACCTTTAGGAGTCACAGATTAGTGAGGAGAAGACAGATACAAATGGTCTGTTTAGCAGATACGTGACCGTAGAGAAAAAGTTGTCAAGGTCAATTGCATCTATTCTTCTGAAAAATACTTGAGATAAAACTGCCCAACAAGGCAGTCTGGTGGCTGGGAAGAATCTTCAAGGTGTGCACAGTATTTTGCTATTGATTATGCCGGGATGGAGTGTAAGTGACATCAACTACGTGGATTTTACATCAGTCTTAATGGTGCCTTATGTATGCACTTGGTTTTATTCATGCTAATGAAGTAAAAAAACCAATTGGAACTGTAACATGGAACTTCTAACAATGTGAATGGCTTTAAGTGACTTGGAAAATAGGAGCCTTGAAACAGGTCAAAGGCAAACACAGAGATAGGATTCAACTTCTTCAGTCTCATTCCTTAAGTAGTGGATAATCATGCAATTTATCCAAAATCTCCTTATAACTGCTGACTCAGCCTGGTCCTTTAGTGACCTGGACCTCTTGTGGCTGCTGTCTTCCCATGGCATCTTTGCAAGAGTGAGGAACATAACTTTCCCCTTCTGGTCAGGGCTTGTTTCATAATCTAATGTAGTTACAGTCGTGCTTTCAGTGTTCATAACTTTAGATGCTGTCAGCTTTTAAACTACATATGTTTTGGGGTTTTTAAAGAAAATTTTTATGGTTCTCCATACTTTAAAAATGAATGTGCCCTAATACCAAGTATCCTGGATTCTCATGCTTTTAAAGGTTTCTGAATTGCTGTCTTCTTAGTCATCTTCTAGCTTAGATAGGGCTCCTGAAGGAAAATAGAACGAATACCCAAAACTGCCAAGACTAGAGAACCCAAGACTAGAGAAAACAGGTAACTTGAACCCACCACTGTATTCCCTGGGTTCTGTAATCAGGATATACACAATGCACTGGGCCATTCATCCACAGTTTAGCTGGAATATTCCAAGCAAATGTTTTTCATCTGCTGCAGCAGAGATTCTTATCTTATTATGAAATAATTTTGCTATGCAGTGGAAACAGTGTGTAAGCACTCTCTGAATTATGAGAAACTCATTTCAGCAGAGTTGTAAACTATGAAAGTACATCTGCATGTGGCATTTGTGAGTTATGGATGTTACAACCTCTTGCGCTCGCTATGTAGGTACAACAGTTCTACTGCCAGCAATGAAATGGAGCATAAACCAAAGCTTGTGAAAGTGAGTCTAGGAAATCCATATGCTTGGATTACACCATGGATTTTTGCACCTATCTAAAGGATCAGCTGCAACCCAGTGCTCAGGTAGAAATATAAAAATTCCTGTTTTCTTCCTCTAAGCTACTCTTCCTCCTATAGCTTTGACACAGAAAATTCTGGAAACGGATGGATATGAACATATAGCTCATCCATATGTAGAATGTTAGTAAATATATACCATATGCAATAACATTTTGCTGTGGATAGTGTGTGAAGCACAATTCCTGCAAGACTGTCTCAAACCACCAACTGGGTAATTGGTGTAACAGATCCTCTTGGAGCATGCAGATTTTGCACCTGGCCAGTTTGTGGTTTCAAGTCTTGGGGCCTCCTCACTTGCTCTACGTTAAGATGTCAGTGCCTTGCTGAGTAATTGCATGAAATATGCCCTGGATCCGAGTAGCTGTGTGAGAAATACTGGTTTGATTTTTGCATTGTTTTGCAAAGCTTCCTGTAGACTCTTCAGCTGCTGCACAGGTGTCAGAAATGTGCTGTTATTTCAGTTTTGAAAGGCAGTAGCTCCTTGTTTCTTGTACTGATCCAGAAGTTGAGCATCCCTCTATAAAAATAGTATCTTAGAGGTATCTTAGCCCTTTTACTTAGGCCATCCTAACCCCTTTCTCTTGTTTGACCCAAGAATCCAAGAGAGGGGGTCCAAGGAAAAGAGCACAGGAGTAGAGCAGTAAGCAGTTAGGGAGAAGAGGGTGCAGGGGAGGCCATCTGCCTTACCTGGCAGTGTCTGTGTTGGAACTGCTGCTGATTGTGGCTTCTCCAGCCAGAGAAATGATAGATGAGTAGGGAAGCCCAGGGATTTTCTGTCGCCTGGGAATCTCTCTAAGCTGCCTTACAATGCAGGAGACCCTTTACTGAGGGTGTTTCTGAAATGGCCTCAGTGCTTTGTAACTGGCTACTGTCTGAAGAATTAAGTTAGGTGTTATTTCTGGAGCCCCTTAAAGACCTTGATGTTAAAAATAAATGACTGCCCAAGGAAGGAAAGGATGACCCTTTATTTGACCTTTTTGGGAAATGCATGGAGGATTTCATTTGTACCTTTTTGTTTATGCCTTTACTGGGGTAGTATCTCCACCCATCTGCTTCTCTCATTAAATCTATGGTACAGCAAGCTCCAGGACCCGGATATAGTGCCTAATTATATGCCACTTCTCTGTGCTTCCCTGGGAGCTCCACCAGATTCCTTCTTCCAATAACTATACACTCTGAGTTTGCTTGCTGAGGTAGAA